ATTAAACCAGTATTTCTCTGATACCAAAACCAGAGAAGGACATTGCAAGAAAAGAAAACTGCAGAATAATATCCCTCTTGAACATAGACGTAAAAATTATTAATAAAATATTGTAAATAGAATATAATATATAGAAAGGATAATACATCCTGACCCTGACCAAGTAGGGCTTATCTTAGGAATGCATGGCTGGTTTAATATTCAAACAGGAATTAATTCACTATATTAACAGAATGAATGAGAAAAGCCATATAATTCAATAGGTGTACACACAAAAAAAAACCTTTGACAAAATTCAATACCAAATCATGATAAAATTTCAATAGAAAAAGGAACTTCTTTAACGTCATAAGAGTCTTCTATGAAAAACCTATGCCTGGGCCGGCCCTGTGGCTTAGCGGTTAAATGCTACTGGCGGCCCAGGTCTGTATCCCGGGCGCGCACTGATGCACCGCTTCTCCGGCCATGCTGAGGCCGCGTCCCACATACAGCAACTAGAAGGATGTGCAACTATGACATACAACTACCTACTGGGGCTTTGGGGGGAAAAAAGGAGGAGGATTGGCAATAGATGTTAGCTCAGGGCTGATCTTCCTCACAACAACAAAAAAAAGAAAAACCTATGCCTAAGAACATACTTAATGGTGAAATACCCTAAGATTGAGAACAAGGTGAGGAAGGGTCTGCTTATATTCAACATTCTCTTAAAGGTCCTAGCCAGTGCAATAAGGCATGTAAGAGAAGGCACAGAGATTACAAATTAGGAAGTAAACCTATGTTTATTTGCAGACAACATGATCATCTATGTAAAAAATTCTCAAAAATCTACAAAAAAGCTACTATAATAGTTGAGTTTAGCAAGGTTGCAGGATATATGATCAGTATACAAAAATCAATTATATTTTTATATACTAGCAGCCAGAAATTGGTCATTGAAATTAAAAATACAATATCAGTTAAAACAGGGCCCCAAATCATGAAATACTAACAGATAAATGTAACAAAATATTTCACACAACTTGTATACTGAAAACTACAAAACATCACTGAGAGAAATCAAATAACAGCTAGAGAACTGGCGAAATACACCATGATGAATCATGATGGATAAGAACACTCAGTATTTTTAAGATGCCAGTTTTTCCCCAAATGACCTATAGATTCAGTGCAATTCCAACTAAAGTTCAAATTAATTCTAAAATTATATGCAAATGAAAGGAACTAATATAACCTAATTTCAAGACTTGGTGGAAAGCTAAAATAATCAAAATGCTGTGTGACAGTTATCAGTATTTTCTCTTATCACATCTGATAAGAGAAACTTTGGGTTATAGTTAGAAAGCCTTTCCTCACAGCTAGATTATAACAGATTTCACTCTTGGTTTCTTCTAGTAGTTATGTGGTTTCATTTTTAAAATTTATATCTCTGATGCATTTGGAATCTTTTCTTGTGTATTGTGTGAAGGAGTCCAGTTTGTCTTTTTCCAAATGGCTTAACCAGTTGTCCCAACATTTATGAAAACATCTAGGTTTTCCCAGTGATATAAGACACAACCTTTATTATATACTAATAGCCATATTTATTATGTTACCTTTATATTTTAAATAAACTTATGTTTTTATATCTGAGTTGAGAATTAACTAGTTTTTATAATCTACCTTTCCATTCAAAACAAGAACTTCCTTTGTCTCGTTCTTGACTTTCCATGTTCATCCCTTACCTCCCACGTTTTGTTGAAATCATCTGGTATTTTGCTTCCAACTTGGTTTTGTCTCATCTTTGTTTGTTTCTTCGTTTGCCTTGTTTTTCACACCATGGGTCTACTAATTCGGAGTTATTTCTTACCAGTCGCATCCAGTGTCACAGAACCTTGACAGAGTTTACCAGCGTTAGTTATAAGTTATACTGGTATCCTTGCCCACTACTGCTTCATGTAGCCAATTTGTTTCTCTATCGTGTGCATTTTTGTTTTTCTAGACCTACAGCATAACCTCAAGTAACTTTTTGGGAAAACTTGCATGACGACCTTGTTCCAGTATTCCCACGTGCTAGTTTGTTCCAGTATTCCCACGTGCTAGTGAAAAGTCTTAGGCAGCTGTATGTTATACAGAGTATGTTCACTGCCCTAAAATACTGTTTTTAGGGCAGTTGTTTCTTTGTAGGTTGTCTTTTTCTTTTTCTTTCTGGCAACCTTAAGGCTTTTTCTTTACATTTGAAGTTCATTCACTTACCAGTAATCGACTAGATGCTGCTCTTCATTTCATTTACCCTGCTTTGCATTCAGATAGTGATTTCATTCTAAGAGCTCAAATCTGTTTTTCAGTGCAAGGAAATTTTCATCTAATTTATGTTTGTTTCTTCTTTTTTCTCTTTGTTCTTTGCTTTTGGAACTCCTACTTGCTAGTGGTTAGATCTTCTGGTCTGTCCTTCACTACCTCTTAATTTTTTTCTGATAATGGTCATCTGTTTGATCTCGACCACTGCTCTCTAGAAGAATCACTTGACCCAATTTTCCTGTTGACTTATTCATAGTCCTCATCTACATCAAGACTCATTTTGTGCCCATGTATTAAAATTGGGATTATCTGTTTGGCAATTATATTTTTATTATAATTAGTAACTTTTTATAGCAGCCTGTCCCTTTTTTGAGAGAGAGAGAGAGAATATATCATCTCAAAACTCTCCAATGATATACAATATTTGTTTAGGGCTTTCTTTGCCATTTATTTCCTTGGGAGTTGGTTTTCTCTTTGTTAAGTCTGGTGCTTCTTTTTCATGCTGTTAATTTTCGTCAACTATTTGGTGATTCTTGTTTACTTAAATGTTAAATGGCATTGAAATTCTAGATTGATCATTATTGGTTACTGAGGTGTGTTTCCTCAGGACAAATGATAATCCCTGTTTTTTTTATTTTCTTGATCTCTTTCACATGTATGTAGTTACAGATTCTTCTATTCTCATGGGTTTCTGATCAGTCTGATTCCATTTGATTTATATTTTCCATAAATTCCTCACTGTCCCAGTTTGCTGATTGCACCGTTCTCAAAATGCAGTGCTATCATGGATTTATTCTTATTTTAATAACATTTGTTTCATTTCAGAAGAGAATGGGAAAGAGAAATGAAAATCCAATTCAGATTTTTTCAATTTATGAAAAAATTATTTATCTCCAGCTGTGTAAAAGTCATGGCTGTTGGAAATAACAGACAGATGTGTCTGAGGATGCCCCCCTGGCTCAGCATGAGCAGGGCCTCACCTAGGGTCACTGTCTAGATGAACTTCTAGTGACTTAGTGTCTGGGTCTCAGCTTTGCACATTCAGTATTGCTCATCTTGTCATAATGGGCTAGTGTATAAACCTTGATGCCAATCTATTAATTTAAAACACAGTAACCCACCTCTTCACTGACTTCATTTGTAAAACAATTAATTGCCTGAAATTTATAAACAGAACTCCTTATTATAAGAATGAAAACATATTTTCTATTTAGTTTTGTATACGTTTAAAGTAGTAAAATTTTAAAAACGAATGTTTTTTATTTATAATCACCAAATTAAAGATAGACTGTGCAAGATATTGCTTGAGAAATATAAATGTCACAAAACTAGAACATTCTGATTAGCCTGGCCAATGACTTATTTCTTTAGGCAGATGATCATCAGAAGCAAGATTATAGTCACAAGATTGTTTGGTAAACCTGGAATTACAGCAGGAAGAGCTAGTTGAATGATTTTACTGGTTAGTGTTTCAGGGAGCTGGAGAGTCATCTAGAAGGGTAATACCTTTATCTTCAGGAAAGGGTTGCACCTGCTAAGAGGACTGTAGTTTTCCCATCAGTTGATTAGAGTTCTGCCAGCCACAGCAAGTACAATGCAAATACTGCAGATATGCTGTCTGCCTGACCCCTATTTTTCAGTGTTTCCTTAAAGCTGCCTTCTGACTGTACAGTTGCCTTAGCTTTACCTGACAAGTGGGCATAGCCAGCTCTGGGATCTCAAGCTTACAGAGGTCACTTTACCCCTTACCTCTAATAATCCTACTGTATCCAGGATTGCCTCTCCCATTGTGGGGTTGTGGGTGTCCTGAGGTCTTACAGGGGTTTGTTACCCACAGACAGGAACAGATGATGCTGAGAAAAACCTGATAGCACAGATACGCATCACTCCTGTGGGCCGGCAATGAATGTGTGGAGGGTTGAGTGTAGAGTCAGTCCTCTTAGGTTCAAGTAACAGGAGGATCTCACTAGAGTGGAGGCCAGTCAGCTCCCCTGCCCACCTTTTGAAATAATATTGATTCTTCACTGGCACTACAAACTCAACTCTCCATTGACTTCATCTGCAGGAAACCAGGTGCATGTAATTTATAAACAAGATTCGTTACAAGAATAAAAACACGATTTCCCATTTAGTTCTTTATATAATGCTTAAAATAAACACTTAAATCCATAATATCTAAGATTGCCGTATTGGGTAAATACAACAGGGCTTCCTTTGAGATTTCCTTTGGAGAGTCTGTACTCAGAGAATGAGCAGAGCAGAAGTAATGTCCCTCTGTCTTCCCTCAGACAAGTCTCCATACCCTATTAGGTCAGATCTGCCCACTTTGTTCTCCCAGTCCTCCTGTTAGAGCTAAAAATGATGATATTAGTGAGGCCGGCCCCGTGGCGTAGCAGTTAAGTGTGCGCGCTCCTCTTTGGTGGCCCGGGGTTTCAAGGTTCGGATCCCGGTCACGCACCAATGCACCGCTTATCAAGCCCTGCTGTGGCGGCGGCCCATATATAAAGTAGAGGAAGATGGGCACGGATGTTAGCCCAGGGCCAATCTTCTTGAGAAAAAAAGAGGAGGATTGGCATCGGATGTTAGCTCAGGGCTAATCTTCCTCACCAAAAAAAAAAAAAAAAAAGATGATATTAGAACAGCTGACCCTTGCTCTGTGCCAGGCCCTGTTCCGGGAGTTTTATGTCGAGTCTCTTCTTTAATGGAAAACGTGTCTTTTTCAGTTGTGAAGATGATCTCTCTGAGGATAGAGAGGAGCTGCTGCACGGGATTTCAGAGCTGGACATCAGCAACTCGGATTGTTTCCCATCCCAGCTGCTAGTGCACGGGGCATTAGCCTTTCCCCTGGGGTTAGATTCCTACCATGGCTGTGTTATCGCGGCTGCCCGCTATGGCCGGGGCCGCGTGGTCGTGACTGGCCACAAGGTATTATTCACCGTTGGTAAACTGGGCCCTTTTCTGCTCAATGCCGTGCGTTGGTTGGACGGGGGCCGCCGAGGCAAGATCGTGGTGCAAACAGAACTGAGGACACTGAGTGGTCTGCTCGCAGTGGGGGGCATAGACACCAGCATCGAACCCCACCTGACCAGTGATGCGAGTGTCTATTGCTTTGAGCCCGTGAGTGATGTGGGAGTCAAAGAGCTGCAGGAGTTTGTAGCAGAGGGCGGGGGACTATTCGTTGGAGCCCAAGCCTGGTGGTGGGCCTTCAAGAACCCCGGAGTGTCCCCCTTGGCTCGGTTCCCAGGAAACCTCCTCCTCAACCCCTTTGGCATCAGCATCACAAGCCAAAGCCTGAATCCAGGGCCCTTTCGTACTCCTAAAGCAGGGATTAGGACCTATCACTTCCGCTCCACCCTGGCCGAGTTCCAGGTGATCATGGGCCGGAAGAGAGGGAATGTGGAAAAGGGCTGGTTGGCCAAGCTGGGGCCGGATGGCGCCGCTTTCCTGCAGATCCCTGCGGAAGAGATCCCTGCCTACATGTCTGTGCACCGGCTCCTGCGGAAGCTGCTCAGTCGATACCGGCTCCCAGTAGCAACCCGAGAGAACCCCGTTATCAACGACTGCTGCAGGGGCGCCATGCTCTCCCTGGCCACCGGTCTGGCCCACTCGGGAAGCGACCTCTCTCTGTTAGTCCCAGAAATAGAAGATATGTACAGCAGCCCCTACCTGCGCCCCTCGGAAACTCCTATCACCGTTGAAGTCAACTGCAACAATCCAGGTACAGAAGGAGGGGTGGGCACTCAGCATTGTGGGAACTGGGGAATGGGGCATGATGGCTTCAGCACCTCATTTCAGGGATCTGATCTCCTCCACCAGGCCATCTCCATCCTTTGCCATGCACTTTCAAGGAGATGGGAGTTGGGGTTTTAGGTGGTGGAATGGAGGGGGAAAGATGCGCAGAGCTCATGAAGGGGCTGTGGGAACGCTGGGTGGAGATGGAATCGTGGAGGAGGGATCAAGTCTGCCTTCTCGTGCTTTTGGCAGGCACCAGATATTGCTGGATGAGTACCGGGCTCTACATACCTGGGAGGCAAATTATAGAGGTCTCACTGCCTGAAGCTGCTGCCTCTGCTGACCTGAAGGTAAGGCCACGCCCCATCTCACCACATACCGTGGAACCCGAATGCTCTTGCTCTCACAGTCGGCATCTTATTTGATTCTCATAAAAACTCTATTGGTAATACAGGGTATGTGCTTTTACCTCCATTTTAAGGATGAGGCAACTAAGGTGCAGAATAGCTGAGTGATTGATTTAAATGTATAGATCTGATACATTTCAGAGCCCAGGACTCCAACCTAATCAACTTCTGGCTCAGGTTTTGTGCTTTTAACTTAAATCGTAGAGTAGGGACTAAGAAAAGTACAAAATAGAAGGCGCCCTGACCCACAGGAGAGTTCAGTAAATCTTAGTTCACTTTCCACCCCATATGCATCTCCCATTGTAGCACAAGGTCTCTTTGACTTACCTGGGATGCAGAGACTGTTCCATGCTTGCCCAGTCCACCTTCGCCTCTGTCACTTTCACATACATACACCCTATTCGCAAATAAAGTTGCCGTCCTGCTCTGTCCCTGTTAAGGTCATTGTGATGCTTAGGGTCGATTCTGTGTCTGCATCTGTCCTGGAACTTGTTTAGCATACATCCAGGAGACAATCCCAAGATTCCACCCAGTAGAGGGGTCACTCCACTGGGCCAGGAATGGGGGCCTTGGAGAATGAAGGAACTGAATCAACCGTCCACTACATCAGCCAGTCACTCTGCCTCCCGCTAGGCCTTCTCTCTAATAGCAAAAGGCAGGATCCCCCCTGCCCCGTTCCCAGTGCGAGAATCACCATCATGGAATAGGCACCTAGGATTCTGTCTGTTGCAGAGACACCCAGGGACCCTTTGTGGGAGTCAGCCCTCAGAATTAGCCTATGGGTTACACCTGGTGCCCCTCACATCAGTGTCTCAGCATGACCCTTTGTGGAGCTATTTGACTCCCCTCGGAGGATCTTTACACATGATCCTCTCCATACGACCTCGAGGAATGACAGGATTTCATGGGTTTAGCTCCCACAGTTCATAAATGGTGGGAAGCCTGGGCTTGCATGGGGTCATGGCCCCGTGACCCTTCCTGCCCCCACCCCCTGGGTGCTCTTCCCTTCTGCTCACACATGCCCAGGGTGACTCCGTGGGGGGATCTCTCTGCTACAGGTACAGATTGGCTGCCACACTGACGACCTGACCAGGGCCAGCAAGCTGTTCCGAGGCCCACTGGTGATTAACCGGTGCTGCTTGGACAAGCCCACGAAATCCATCACCTGCCTCTGGGGTGGCCTGCTCTATATCATCGTGCCCCAGAGCAGCAAACTGGGTTCTGTGCCCGTCACTGTTAAGGGGGCTGTGCATGCTCCATACTACAAGCTGGGTGAGTGGAAGCTATAGTGAACCCCAAAGGAAGGGGAGAGCTGGGGGTGAGGAGGTCATTTGGAGCTGTTTGGTGTAGGAAGAGAGAAGTTCAAATAAATGGAGGGAAAGAAGGTGAGCTTCCTTAGGTTGAGCTTTGGGGCCGAGGAGATGAGACCAAACCACATCCATGGGGACTTTATAGGATAGAGGGGGGTTATGGTTGTTTGTGAGCTTGGTGTTCTCCTCCTGGGCTTCAAGTTGTATGTTTTAGTGTAAGGCATTTGAGAAAGTAAGTTTCAAGCTCCATGGCCTCTCTTCCCAGGGGAGACATCCCAGGAGGAGTGGAAGAGGCGTATCCAGGAGAACCCAGGTCCCTGGGGAGAGCTGGCTACGGACAACATCATCCTGACAGTGCCGACCGCAAATCTTCGTACCCTGGAGAATCCTGAGCCACTGCTTCGCCTCTGGGATGAGGTGATGCAGGCTGTGGCACGGCTAGGGGCCGAGCCCTTCCCTTTGCGCCTGCCTCAGAGGATTGTTGCCGACGTGCAGATCTCAGTTGGTGGGTGCTCTGGGGAACCAACCCTCTGTACATGCTGCCTCAAAGGGCCTCCCTTTCCTTCAATAGCTATGCAGTGGGCAGCCAGCAGGGTAAAATGCTTTTCTAGAAAGATATATAAGGTATAATCCTTACTATTTAAACAAAAAGGAAAAAAATGCATTAAAAAACTAGACTGAGGGGCTGGCCCTGTGGCCTAGCAGTTAGGTTCGTGGGCTGCACTTTAGCGGCCCGGGGTTCGCCGGTTCGGATCCTGGGCGCAGACCTATGCACTGCTCATCAAGCCATGCTGAGGTGGTGTCCCACATAGAGCAACTAGAAGGATGCACAACTATGAGATACAACTATCTACTGGGGCTTTGGGGAGAAATAAGGAAAAAAGGAGGAAGATTGGCAACAGATGTTAGCTCAGGGCCAATCGTCCTCAAAAAAAAACACCACTTGTCATACATTCTTCCCAAAAAAAAAAAAAAGACTCAGCCACTTCCCCCCACAAAAATTTGGAAACGACCTAAATGTCCAACAGTTATGTGATGGTTAAATAATGTATCATGTGTATCTTCAATAGAGATTAAGGAAGCCATTTAAAGTGATATTTTGATGGCATAAGGAAACATGGTGAGATTATGTGACACAAAAGCAGCCTGTAGACCTATATGTATGCAGTATGTTAAAATATATAACACTTGAAGTCAGCCTGTCAAGAGATGTCATCAAACAGTGAGAATGATGCAGAAAATAAGTGCTGGACTTTCACATGTCCACCAGGGGACTTCAGGAGTGGGTAGAAATGGTGGAGGGCCTCGGCCTAGGTAGCAGTAGCTGGGAGCAGGAATTTAACAACTTTGAGGAGACACTGAATAAAGAGACTTGCCAGTGGGTCAAGAGGCCTAAAAATGAGGGGGTGTATAGAAATAAAAGAACCATGAACATCACTCTAGACCCTAGTATTCTTGACTTCCATAGATGATCATGATAAAGTGGTGTCAACATGGGGAACTCTATCTAAATAACGAGGGGGGGGGGCCACCCTCAAAAAGTTCTTAATTTTTTTTTTTTTTTTT